TTATTTTCTCTATGGTATCTTCAGTCTGACATTCTTTCTTCTATCTCTTGTATTCTGCTGGTTATGCTTGTTTCTGTAGTCTCTATTCATTTACCTAGATTTTCCATGTCCAGCTGGTCCTCTGTTTGTGTTTTGTTCTTTGCCGCCATTTCAGTTTTCAAGTCGTGAACTGTTTCCATTATCTGCTTGATTGTTTTTCCTTGGTTTCCTAGGGTATCATTCACTGATTTACTCAATTCCTCTTACTTACTGTTATACTTCTCATCCATTTCTATAAGGGCGTTATTTATATGCTATTTAAGGGTGTCAATCACTTTCATGAAGTCAGTTTTTTCTACTTCTTCTTGATTAAGGTGTTCATGTCCTCCTGTTGCGAGGTCGGTGGATTCTGTTGGTTTGGTGTTGTTTTTCAGATTGTTGGGTGAATTCTTGCATTGGCGTCTGCCCTTCTCTTCCTCCCAATACTCCCCTATGGATCTTCTTTTACAGGATCAGGTCTTCTTGCCCACTGATGAACCTTCCCAGTGATGTCACTCCCCAGTGATGTTTCTCCTGGTGTCCAGATAGGATCTCCTTGTTGCTCGGTTAGCTCGGGAACAAAGGGCCCACCCTGCTTGCTGCAGGCAGGCTATGGGAACAAAGGAGCTACCGCCAACCCCTTTGTCCTCCTGGTTTGGGTTCGGTCCCAGCTCCCGAGCAGGCTGAGCAGGGAGGTGCTATGCCGCCAAAGAAGGGAGGGAGGGAGGGAGACAGGGGGTGGGGGCATCTGGATGTTAGCTGGATGGGATAGGAAGAGAGAGGAGGTATCAGGCAGTATAGCCCCTGTAGGATGACCAGGAAGTGTAGGCGGGCTGAGATATGTTTGCGGCTGCCTCAGCACCCACTCACCACAATGATGTTTCACTGGGTGCCCAGATCGAATCTCCGTGCTGCTTCGTTAGCTCGCAAAGGGCCCACCCTGCTTGCTGCAGGCAGGCTATATGGACAAAGGAGCTACCGCCCTCCCCTTTGCCCTGGCAATTCGGGTTCAGTCCCAGCGCCCGAGCAGGCTGAGCAGGGACGCGCTATGCTGCCAAAGAAGAGTTTTGTATGCTTCTTTAACCTTCAAAGGAATATCTTTCTTTAGGTTGGGAAAGTTTTCTTCTATAATTTTATTAAATATGTTTTCTGGACCGTTGAGCTGTAATTCTTCTCCTTCTTCTATCTCAATTATTCTTAGGTTTGGTCTTTTTATTGTGTCCCAGATTTCCTGAATGTTTTGTGATGAGGATTTGGTCGTTTTGCTATTTTCTTTGATCAGTGTGTTTATTTTCTCTATGGTATCTTCAGTTTCTGACATTCTTTCTTCTATCTCTTGTAATCTGTTGTTAGTACTCATCTCTGTAGTTCCTGTTTGTTTACCCAGATTTTCCATCTCCATTCTTGCCTCGGTTTGTGTTTTATTCATTGCTTCCATCTCATTTTTCAAGACTTGAACCGCTTCCCTAACCTGTTTGATTGCTTTTTCTTGTTTCTCTTGGTTTTCTTGCGTGTCTTTGAGCAATTTATTCATTTCCTCTACCTTTTTGTTTGTAATCTCTAATTGTTTATGGCAGTTTTTCACCTCCTGTTTAAGGTCCTCTATTATTTTCATATAGTTCACATTTGAGTAGATTTCTTCTATTTCTTCTGGAGTAGGGTGTACAATTCTTCTTATTCGGGATCCCTGGATTCTGGTGGTGTCATGTTGCCTTTCAGGTTGTAGGAGGAATTCTTGCCTTGGCGCCTTCCCATCTCTTCCTTCAAATAGAGCCAGGAGAGGCATGCTGTCTTGGTCCAGTCTCTGCTGTGATTGACTCTCTGGGTGTATCTCTTCAGTGTAGAAGCAGGAACCGTTCCCGTCCAGATGGGATTCCTCAGCAACTAAACAGGGCCTCTAGGTAGCCCAATGATCCTGGGGCAAAAGGATGAACGGAGCAAGGAGGGGGGGGCGATATCCAGAAGAGTACCAGAAGCCTGGTACAGGAGATGAAGGGGCTCAGGCTCCCTTACAGGGGACCCTGAGGCCTGCCCAGTAGGCAGGCACTCACCGCTCTGCGTGGGTAGCCTTAGTGTAGGAGCTTAAAACTGTTCTTGAGCACTGGTCCTAGCATACAGCAGAGCAGGGTTGGGGAGGGGTGCTGGGGGGTGGGTCGTTCGAAAGAAAGACAGCCCTGCAGAAGGAGCTGGGGGAGGGGGGTTTGTGCTCTCTTCCAGGACAGTCCGCCCCTGGATAGCACACACTCATCTGTCCAGATGGAATTCCTCAGCAACTAAACAGGCTATTAACACATTCTTGATAGAAAAAAGAAAAATAAATAAATAACACCATACAATTCAATAACTATTGAAACCAATGATGAAATTAAACATATTTGATTGCTGGATTCATACTTCTCTTACATATATTGGAATGAAGATTAAGCTTCATAAGATTTATTTTCACATAACGGGCTTCTCCTCAACCTGGAAGAATTCGATGATGTCATTAGAAGGAATGGGATCATCATATTACCTGAACAGACTCCAGAAATGCAGATTTTTTCATAGATTCAAAATGTACCAGTGCGAGTGTGTTTGTGTGTGTGTGTGTGTGTGTGTGTGTGTGTGTGTGTATATATTCAAAGAAAGAAAGAAAGATATTATTTGAGATGTAAATGCATGAAAAAATTTTGTTAAAATACCCTCTAAAGTCAGTTTGAAGAAAATATAACACTTGTATGCTAAGCTGGACAAGGGCACACAACCATTAAGTGAGAAGATACTTTTGTGAACTGAATAATAAAATTGGTAGTAAGTTAAGCAGAAGTGCAGAGCAGAGGTGTAAACAGTGAGGAAGGTCATACAACATGTATGTGAGTGTGATATGATGGAATTTCTTAGGTTATCTTTTAATTAAAACAATAGTAATCATTACACATAAAATAAAACTGGGTACATAGCTAAACCAATACTGATGTAAATTTCATTTGCACTCTTGAAGGATGATTTTTCTGATTCTCAAGTTAGAATAATTTTCAATTTTCTGAGAAAGGGGCTGTTCAAACTTCTTTGCAGGATTTTGAGATCTTACTCCTCATACTATGTCACCTTGACTAACCTTAACAAGGCAAGGTGTTTATTCTTGCTACAAATTGGAATCCCATGTCACATTGATATCCATGGGAGGGCTGATATTTTGTGAATGGAAACAGAGAAGGAGGAGATTGTGGTTAGAGGCAGATGGGAGGCAGGGGAGGTCTGAGAAAATGGGAGGGAGATGAAACTGTAGCTGGGATATAAAATAAATAAATACATAAAGAGGAAGTTGATTTGCTTTGTGTTCCTATGAGAGACTTTGTCTGTGATATCCTTCTCTGTCACATCTTAGTCCCCCAAAACAGCTCATCACAGAATCAGGGCTCATGTCCTTTTACATGGTGATCTTTAAATGTACTAAGTTCAAAAGGAGAACTCCAGTCCTGTTTACCTCATATTAAATGCTAAGTAAATCTTCCAACCAAGCAGAGAAAGATATGCCCTACTGTTGGGGACCAGCCTCAACAAAAGTACCACTTGCCAGGGTAGGAGTGTGGAGATTTAGAAAAATTTGTAAAGAATACAAAGATGCATGTTAAATTAATAAAACAGAATAGTACTGGGAGGAAGTTCCAATAAGTACTGAAATTGCTCACATATAATTTCCAATTGGTTGAAAGCTTTACTGGGTATAGTAGTATGGTCTTGCATCCATGGTCTGTTAGGGTCTGTAGCACATCTATCTAAGATCTTCTGCCTTACATAGTTTCCTTTGAGAAGTCAGGTGTAATTCTGATAGGTTTACCTATTTATTTCACTTGACCTTCTTCCTTTGTAGCTCTTAATATTCTTTCTTTATTCAGTATGATTTGTGTTTTGATTATTATATGGCAAGGGGAATTTTCTTGATCCAATCTATTTGGTGATTTTTAAGCTTCTTGTACCTTCATAGGGAATGCCATTCACAGTGAGATCATTTCCTTTCCATTGTCTATGAATCAAAGATATAGAATACTCAGCTCCCTCTCCAGCACCATGTCTTCATGCCAGCATGTCCCAGGAAGATAATAATGGACTTAGCCCCCAACTATAGGACATCCAATTAAATGTTATTGAAGTCTACTGAGCAAAAAAGTGTTGTATGATTGTCCAAATTAACCTGTTCAATCAAAATCAAATTATTTGTCCTATCAGGGCCTTCTGTTTTTACCTTTATAAACTGCTATTTTCCTACAGGCCCCACCTGTCTCTTCTAAACAGAGGCAGTGCTATGTACTCCCTGATCAAAACCTGTTCCCTCCTCCCTTGCTGACTTACCTCTATTCATTCTCTATCTCTTGTCTTTGATTCTTTTTCCCTACTCATTGTCCTCTTGGACACATAAATCTCCTTTTGGTTGAGAACTTGATCTTAGTATGTTGTGTGTAGACTTCAAGGGTCCCTACAGATTCTGTTTCCTGTTTCTTATATGTCAGTGTGTTTTGGCTGGTGAATTCATACTAAAAAATATATCACATAAGTTGTCCTATAGAAGACATGATCTCCATCTATTTCAGGGAAACAATTCATAAAACACAAAGACATCAAAAATCTCTCTAACCACGAGATCTGAGATATTAAATACACTATGTGCAATACAGTGATTAATCATTTTAATCTCTGTAAACTCACTAGTTTCAGTCAATTCATCATAGCATTCAGTAAGGACTGAAAATATCTGTGTTTTCTGATAATATAAAATGTTATCACCAAGACAAAGTTAAATAGACAACATGTTATTTTATTTCATTTCCCACATTTATAATGAATATTCAGAAATGAAAGAATTGCTATGCAGCAGTGTCTCTCAGCTACATCATCAGCAAAGGATTCAGATATCACAATGTTTACTCAAACACTGAATTTAAATATTCTGTCAATAAATGGCAGTAGTTGTAGTAATCATTTTTTTCTCTCTCCAGCAGATGGGGATAATTGTGTGAAGTGTCCAGAGGACCAGTATGCCAACAGAGAACAGAACCAGTGTATTCAAAAAGCTGTGGTCTTTCTGAATTACAAAGACACCTTAGGGATGGTTCTTACCTTAATGGCCTTGTTATTCTCTGCATTCACAACTGTGGTTCTTGGGATATTTGTGAAGCATCGCAACACTCCCATTGTGAAGGCCAACAACCAGAATCTCAGCTACACCTTGCTAATTTCACTCATCTTCTGTTTCCTGTGTCCCTTGCTTTTCATTGGGCATCCCAACTCAGCTACCTGTATTCTGCAGCATATTACATTTGGAGTTGTATTTACTCTGGCTGTTTCAACTGTGTTGGCCAAAACAGTGACTGTGCTGTTTGCTTTCAAAGTCACAGCCCCTAGAACAAGGATGAGGTATTTTCTGGTTTCTGGTGTTCCCAACTACATCATTGCCATCTGTATGCTCATCCAAATTATTCTCTGTACAATCTGGTTGCATTTTTATCCTCCTTTTATTGACAAAGATGTGCACTCTGAGCATGGCCAAATCATCATTGTGTGCAACAAGGGCTCAGTTATTGCATTCTACTGTGTCCTGGGATACCATGGCTCCCTTGCATTAGGGAGCTTCATTGTTGCTTTCTTGGCCAGGAATCTCCCTGACACATTCAATGAAGCCAAGTTGCTGACCTTCAGCATGCTGTTGTTTTGTAGTGTCTGGATAACCTTCCTCCCTGTCTACCACAGTACCAAGGGCAAGATAATGGTGGTTGTGGAGGTTTTGTCCATCTTGGCTTCCAGTGCAGGGCTACTGGGATGCATTTTCATCCCCAAGTGCTATATAATTTTGTTAAGACCAGACAGAAATTCTCTTCAAAAGTTAAGGGAGAAAACATCTTTCTGAACACACATTTCATAAATTGTAACTGACAATTACTGTATTGGTTCAGAACCACCTAATACAATACAATGTAAACTGTATGAATGGCTAATGATTCTCATCATTTCTTCTAATCATGAGGCACAGCAGTGTCATGTATACTACTTTTCTGTACATTGTCATCTATAATCATCAACACAGCCAATTATTTTATGATTCAATTTTTTACAATTAGTGTACAAGAGATGTATTCCTTTATTCCTCAATTTCCCAGCAACATTAAAATTAATGCTCAGTAATTGTACTGATAAAGGAGTGAATATGGAACTTTGAATGCAAATGAAAACAGAGAAATCTTTTAGTAGAGTTAAATATTGCTATCAGATGGAAAAACTAATATGCTCATTTTTGGAGCAAGAAAAGTGAATACCATTGCATCCTAGGAGTTAGAGGAGTAGTATTTAGGAGAGAGAGAAATGTCTGATAAATAGATATAATGGATATTGAGGAAGATGAAATGTTTCTCCACATTGAAATTCATGTGTGCTTTTTCTAAGGAAATTAGTTCACTATCCATTCCTCACAACTTGCAGTCCTATAACAATAGCTCTAATAAAAGATTTGCACTCTTCTGACTTCCAAGAACACCTACATTCAGATGTGCATATAATAACACACTCAGAAAACTAACATACTCCTAATTGAAATTAAAATAATTTTTAGAATTGAATTTATAAATCACTGAAATGGAACACTGGTTTTATTTTTTCCCTTCATTAAAAATATTTTTTCCCAGACAATAGTTTCTGATTATGGCTCCTCCTTCCTTTATTTGTTTATTTTTCTATACTCCTTCCCATAACCCCTTTATGTTATTTTATCCACCGCTTCTATCTCTCACAGCAAAATAGTTTTCTATGGGAAAGAAAAAAAATAATACTAAGATTAAGAAAAGCTAATGCTTTATGTTAGGTCAAAATGAAGAAACATGAGGAAATATCTAAAGAGAATCAATAGAATCAGTCCTATGCATTTGCACCCTCATGAATCCCATAAAATTTAACCTGAAACCTATAATAAATATTCAAAGTATCAGTAGGTTAAAAAGAGGAAATTGTTCTACATATGTACTACACACATATATAATGTATGTATTGGTTAATATGTATGTTATGACAAGCTAACAATTAGAGACAAGGGGGAAACTCTGACACAACACTGGGAGACAAGGACATCCAAGAATTAGGTTGAGTGAATTTTCTGCTCACATCTCTTTCTGGACATTCAAATTCTTTATTGAGACTTTTAGGAGGAAAGGCAATTATCATAAGTCAGTGATTATAAACTGGATTATATTTCAGGATTAAGGATGAAGCCCATGTTTACTTATACTTTCAGGTATGTAACCGCCACTGAGAAACACACATGTAAGAACTGTGCCTGCTGCTCCAGGTTCTGTGATTTCTTCGTGTTTCAATCCTGTTTATATAGAAGGCCTTTTTTCTTTGCTGTCCTCCACATAGCCTGGCTTTAATATACTGTATATCATCTTCCATACTATTTTCTGTGGCTTGCAGGAAGAAATGTGAAGGAAACAACACTTTTAAATTTAGATTTCTTTTTCTCACCACTATGTCTGGTTGTTATTTCTATATTTTTTTCTTTCTGCTGCAGAAAGTTTCTCTGATGATCTCAAAACAAGGCCCTGATCTATAAGTGTAACACAATGCCATTGCAAGACACTTGTTCTTTTTTTTTATACATTAGGATTTGGTTTTACTGTAGATAACTTGACCATCTCGTCTCTGATTTTTCTTCACCCAAGTAGTGTCTGGTTGGATCAATTTTGTGGATCTGGTATTCAATCTAACCTGATATTGATTACTTACTCTTAGAAATTTTGTGCAACCATCCTTTCATCTATCTTGCAGGCAGGATATCATTGTAGATCAAAAGGTTTTTGCATGTCTTTTCATCTATAGTTTATGTTTGGTACAGGATAAAGTATATTTAGGTACCAAATACACTAGAATACTGGGATAAAACTCAATGAAAGCACCAGGTCAACTTCTGCATGTTCAATCTGTTGTGAATTTGAAGTTGTTTAGGTTTTATTAAAAAGGTCTTGCCATCAATCTGTGGATGATCATCTATAATCTTTTCAGTAAATAGGGTGTTTGGTGACAGCCATTGTATGACTTTTAGGCAATAACTCAATTGGATGTAACCATATGATAAAAAGTCTGCCTCGCTTATTCATTAGTAAATTCATTTAGATCTCCTGCCATGCTACTAAAAGTGTTTATCAGCTGAAGAAGTTCTTTGGTGGAGTTTTTGGGGTTGCTTATGTACACTATCATATCATCTGCAAATAATGACAGTTTAACTTCTTCCTTTCCAATTCGAATCCCTTGATCCCCTTATGTTGTCTTATTGCTATTGCTAGAACTTCAAGCGCTGTGTTGAAGTGGTATGAAGAGAGTGGACAAGCTTGTCGTGTTCCTAATTTTAGTGGGATGGCTTTGAATTTCTCTCCATTTAATTTGATGTTAGATTCCGCTTGCTGTAAATAGCTTTTATCATATTTAGGTATGACCCTTGTATCCCTAATCTCTCCAAAACCTTTATCATAAAGGGTTGTTGAATTTTGTCAAATGCTTTTTCAGCATCTAATAAACTTAAAAAAACAATATAGAGGAAGCCAAGAATCAAAATCAATTCAAATGGAGAGAAACTCAAAGTCCTTATACTAAAATCAAGAACAAGATATGGCTGTCCACGGTCTCTATAGCTATTCAACAGGGTACTCGAAGTTCTAGCAGGAACAATAAGACAACAAAAGGAGATTAAAGAAATACAAATTGGAAGGAAAAAGTCAAACTCTCACTATTTGAAAATGATATGGTATTATACATAAGCGACCGGAAAATCTCTACCAGGGAATGCCTACACTTGTTAAACACCTTCCATACTGTGCCAGGATACACAATTAACTCAAAAAAATTAATAGACCTTCTATGTTCAAATGATAAAGGGGATGAGAAGGAAATGAGAAAAACATCACCATTTTAATACCCACAAATCTCATAAAAAAATCTTAGGTTTCCGTGCTCCCCTGTCCAACCTTCCTTTATCCCAATCCTACTGTTTCCCCAAGTCCCCCCATCTTTCCCTTCTATCTTTTCTCTCCCCATTTCCCCTTACCCCCATCCCACCCCACCCCCTAGATCTCAATTTTCTCCCCGGCAATTTGGTCTACTTCCCTTAGTCAAGAGGATAACTATATGTTTTTCCTTGGGTTCACCTTCTTACTTAGCTCCTTAGGTTCACCTATTGTAGACTCCGTGACCCTTATTAATGGCTAGAAACCAATTATGAGTGAGTACATCCCATTTTCAACTTTTTGGGTCTGGGATACCTCACTCAGGATAGTGTTTTCTATTTCCATCAATTTGCATGCAAAATTTGAGAAGTCATTGTTTTTTACCGCAGCATAGTACTCTAATGTGTATATATTCCATACTTTCTTCATCCATTCTTCCATTGAAGGGCATCTAAGGGAGCCACTTTAGGGTTGGCAAGAGACTTGACCCTAGAGGGGCTCCCAGGTTCCCAACCCAAGGTCTCCAGTTAGTTCCTTGGGCAGCTGAGGATCGGGAACCTGAAATGACCCAATCCTAGAGCAATACTGACGAATATCTTGCATATCATCATAGAACCTTCATCTGGTGATGGATGGAGATAGAGACAGAGACCCACACTGGAGCACTGGACTGAGCTCCCAAGGTCCCAATGAGGAGCAGAAGGAGGGAGAACATGAGCAAAGAAGTCGGGACCACGAGGGGTGCACCCACCCACTGAGACAGTGGAGCTGATCTATTGGGAGCTCACCAAGGCCAGCTTGACTATAACTGAAAAAGCATGGGATAAAACTGGACTCTCTGAACATGGCGAACAATGAGGGCTGCTGAGAAACCAAGGACAATGGCACGAGGTTTTGATTCTACTTCATGTTCTGGCTTTGTGGGAGCCTAGCCAGTTTCGATGTTCACCTTCCTAGATATGGACGGAGAGGGGAGGACCTAGGACTTACCACAGGGCAGGGAACCCTGACTGCTCTTTGGACTGGAGAGGGACGGGGAAAGGAGTGAGGGGAGGGGGAGAAGGGTGGGAGGAGGGGTAGAAGCGTGGGAGGAGGGAGAGGGAAATGGGTGGATGGGAGGAGTTGGAAACTTGTTTTTTTTTTCTTCTTTTCTCAATAAAAAAAAAATGTTAGGGTATAACTAACCAAACACGTGAAAGATGTATATGACAAGATCTTTATTTCTTTGAAGAAGAAATTTGCCAATGATATAAGAATATGAAAAGATTTCCCATGCTCTTCGATATGTATTGACAAAATAGTAAAAATAACAATTCTACCAAAACTACTCTACAGATTGAATGCAATCAACATCTAATTCTTAGCCAAAGTCTTCACAGACCTTGGAGAACAATATTCAACTTCACATGGAATAACAATAAAAAAAATCCAGAATAACCAGAACAGTTCTCTAGAATAAAAAAAAAAAAAACGTCTGGAGGAATTCCCATCCCTGACATCAAGCTTTTCTATAGAGCTACAGTAATAAAAAAGGCTTGGTATTGACATAAAATCAGACAGGTAGACCAATGGAAATGAAAAAAGGATCCTGACATTATTCCTCATACCTATGAACACCTGATTCTTGACAAAGAAGCTAAAATTATACAGTGGAAAAAATGTTGGACGGAGCGTGAGGCCACTTGTTTTCAGGCCACCAGGATAGATTAAACCTGAAATAATCACACAGAAACTGTATTAATTAAACCACTTCTTGCCCATTAGTTTTAGCTTCTTATTGACTAATTGTTATATTAATTTAGCACAATTCTACTCATCTGTATTTCACCATGAGGCTGTGACTTACTGGATAAAGTTCCCAGTGTCTATCTCCAGAGGCTTGATGGCTTCTCTCTGAGTCGACCCTTCTTTTCCCCAGCAT